GGGGGAGGGGGGCACGGGAGGGGGGGCTTCCGAGGTCCTACCGTGGGTGATGGGGAGGGAAGGTGGCGAGAGGCATCTCGTGCCACAGGAGGACAGGCAGCACTTCTGGTGTGGTGGGCACCGGCGGCCGCGGGGGGATTTTGGGTTGGGGATGGCGCAGGTGACACGGACGGGCGGGCAGGACCAGGCGCTGCCTGCAAGAGGAAACAGCCTGTTTGCTCTGGGCTGTCGGCAGCTGAGGGATCCTGGGGAGATGCTCCCCAGTAAATGTCCCCCTCCTCACCCCTCCCATCCCAGAGGATCCCTGCAAACAGGGCTCCTTCCCAGGGCCTGTGCTTTTCCTCCCCGTACCGTATCCTAGGACATCTCGTACCTGCCGGCAGCTCTATCCAGAGGAGGAGCATCCCCACCAGGAGGAGGGCGGCCACCGACTTCATGCTGCTGTGTCCCCAAGAGGTGTGAGTGTGACAAGCTGGGGGATGCTGATATTTAAACCCTTGGGGAAGATGGGGGGTGGGGAGTTGGGCTGGGCACGTGCCATGTTTGTACCTTTTTCCTCTGCCGTTGCCTTCTGTTTTCCGGAAACCTTTTGCACAAGATACAAAGGGGATTGTTCAGTTGCTCGAAAAGCAGTTATTCCATTGCACAACTGTCCCCTGCAGCCACATCTGGGGCTGAGGGACAAGGCAAGGGGAGATGGTCCAGGGAGGGCATCATCCCCTGGGCAGGCTGGAGGTGGAGGTCCGTTACGGGGGTTTCCCTTGGTACCCTGCTTCCATGTGCACCCACAAACTGAACCCTACAGCGTGATCCGGGTCAGCAGTGGTCCAGAGCACGGGACTGCCTGTGCCTTCCCAGGGATAATCCTTCAAGGTTTTCCTAGAGGAAACCTACCTCACCCCTCAGGTGAGTCTTCCCCAAGCTCTTTGGGGGTCACCTGAACCCCAGGATCTTCTCTGGGTGGCCGCTGCCAGGTAGGAAGCAGGTTGGTGCTGGAAGGAAGTGGCTGGTGTCACGGGGGCAGGATAATTTGCTCCCTACAGCCCTGTCATCAGCCAAACGTCCCCATGCAGTGAAAGGACAGTGCAACTGAGCCCTAACTCTTGATGGCTGTAGGGATTAGGGGCTGTAGTCCTTGCTCAGATGGCGAAGATCTCACCAGCTTTCAGGCCTCCATCTTCTCCTTCTGCCCAGGAGACTGTGCCCCCCCCATCCAGAAAAGCTGTTTTCTTTGGGTGCTCTTGGGCAATGGGAAATTACTCCATTTCCCACCAGTGGGTCAATGTCCCCCTCGTCTTGTGTAACAGGTTCTTGGAGCCTTTCCTTGGGATTTCTGGGGATGCCAGAAACCCAAGCTGTGCTGGAAACAGGTGCTGGAAATGCCAGGTGGGGTGAAGGCACCCCGCAGCCGAACACCCTGTGCTCCTGCAAAGGGCAGGCTGGGGCAGACACTGATTTTTGCAACTGGGCAGGGCAAAGAGCAAAGCCCAGGCATTGCCCCTGTGTGCTTCACACAGCCCCTGAGCCCCCCACATCACCTGGCCTCTGGGGTGCCTGCTTTTCACCCAGGGCATGGGGGGCATCTTGCTGTGCCCTTTCCTGCTCAGACTTCCCTTCTCATGTCTCGATGTGCCACTTTAACTGGACCTTAACTTATTGGCTATCTGTTTATTATTGTCCAGTTTCCCTGTAATTCTGTGGCCACATTTAGCTCTTTGTAAAGTAATTAAATAACCAGGAGAGTATTTAGCAAACCCAAACAGACTTTCTGTGCTGTGCACCAACAATTCAGCACTTTTAATAAGAAATACAAGCATTGGATTAATTTTTAAGCAATCCTTTGGCATTCAGCTGCTGCTGGGGCTAGAGGGGATGGTGCTGTGCTCCCAGATGGTACCAGGACCTGGCTGAGATGGTGCTGCCCCTCTAAGGGAGGAGAAGACACCAAGGAGCAAGGCTTGGATTCAGCTGCAGAGAAGTTGGGAAGGAAAGAAATCCATCTGAAGGGCTCTTGATAGTGCTTTGTCCACAGAGGAAAAGGCTAAAGTCTGCTTTTATTGATAACTCCTGCTGGGCAATGCTGCAGGTGCTGCCGGCTGGTGCTGTGATTTCCCAGCCAGGCCAGGGCTCTCCAGTTTGTTTGACCCAGGGATGGCAAGCAGTGAGGCCACCAGCCCTGGCTCCCCTGGCCCATGGCTTGACCTCAGCCTTAGCAGGATGCACAAATCTCCCCAGGGACAGCTTGCACCCTGCAAAGCAGCTATTGTCCTTTGCTGGGACAAGGATGCAATGCTTTCAGCCTGACACCAAGCTCCATCCATCTACCCACCCATCCATAGCTGAGGATGCTCTGGGTGCCAGGGAGAAGGGGATGTCCCCAGCACCGCCTCGTTAGCGCTGGTGTCTGGTGCCATCTAGTGAAAAGCCATTAATGAGGCTCTGCAGGGCCAGCAAACGTGGCCCTGCTCCCAGATGTGATCCCACAGCCTGTCTTGGGGATGCTTTCCCAAAAATCCCACCTCAGCTGATGCTCAGCTCCTGCTGCCCTTCCCCATGCCCCCTCTTGCCTCCCCACTGATGCGTTGCCATCCCTGTGCTGCCAGCCCTTGTCCAGCCTCTCCATCTCCACTTTTTCTACAGCTTTCCTTAATATTTGCCAAAATTACATTGGGACAACTGGGGCTTAATCATGCCCTCAGGCTGTGCCCTGATCTGCTCTAATCAAGCCTGTTATTAAATCCCAATCTCAGCTAATTG